AACAGGTGGATAAGAGACAGGGACTGCAGGTTTCTACAGCTTTAACTTAATCATGTATCCAGATGCCAAAGGACTGGAGCTGGTTCTGCTGTGCCCGTTAAAGAGACTTCAAACTATCAAAGAATCAAAAGCTTGTATTGACAGCTGGGTCAGATGTGTCATTTGTCCTAAGTTATTTCTCCACCTTGTGTCAGCATAGACAAAAAGCTTTCAAATGCTCCATGACAAATGAAACTGTATGATATGATCGAAAGCTCCGGAAAAGCTGCTAAATGGAACTTGTGATGAGATTGTTTTCTCAACATTATTATTAGTTGCAGATTTATTTAGAAGTCAAAATAAAACCCACCCACCATGTTTAAACATTGATAGTAAAGAAATGCCATTCAAAGACTCATCAATAAAGATATCAGCAGAGGAAATTAAAGGAAAGGTGACAGACTTCATGTGTGTAACACTGATCAGGTGTTGATTTTAACGTTACCTGGGCACATGGTGTACATTGTAAGGAAACAACACAACTTTGTGTCCCTCCAGTAGCGTGTTCTTGTTTATCTCCATGGTTCCAAACCAGACACAGGCACCAATAGGACTGATTATAACAGTAAACCAAATTCAACCCTTGTACATCCCATTAATATATTATAACAGCTGGATACCGAATCACAAGATGGAGACCTTTCTTCCCATGGATGTATTAAGGGGAAAAAGTAGGAGATTTTTCAATGTTTGTATTATGAGAATGTTATTTCGTAATATTAATACATTCTTTTATTGTATTTATTTACCCCACAGAATGTTGCTGACCTGGCGCACACAGCAAATTTGTTTTTCTTCCGGGGTTGCTGCACATGTGCAATAATAGGCTAGAATATATTGGTTGCTATTCAAGAAGACATTAATTCCATAGTCACATGAGACTGGGATTGCAAAGGGATCTAAATCACAGTCACACACAAAATATTTTATCATGCCCTGACATGGAACTGAACTGCAAACTGCCATAGAACTTTTACTGGTTTCTGCTATTGGTTAATGCAGCTTGGCAAAGAGGGTGAGGAACACATTTTAATTGTTTAAGACAGAAACATTAAAATTAACATGGTACCACACAAACGGTCACACAGTAAGACACACAGAGTATCCACACGCATTTTCTTCAGGAAATGCATTTGTCTAGTTTTATTATCCTTTCTGAAATTCCATTTGTGCCTGTGGCAACACTCAGACAAGTACATTAACAACAAACACTAAAGACAGTCCTCAGACAACATCAAGATGACAGTAACACAATTATCAAATCATAACATTTTGTTTAGCAGAGCTACTATATCTAGGAAGATACAATGTTAACATTTAATAAACAGTTAGCTAAAAGTAATCAATAAAACAAATTATTAAAGGAAGCCCAACTGATAAATAAATAAATAGCCAAAAGTAATGAATATTGTGATATAGTTCAAATAAAGATAAACTTTAAATAATTTACTAAAAGTAATAGATAAACAGTTGAAGCTAAACATAATGGACAGGGGTTCTAACAGGACAGTTTGACATCATTAATGAGGTTAAATGGCATCCAGTCTAAGATTAATCCAAATGGACATGTTTGTGCTGAAAGGAGACACTCAGAATTAGTCTATGAGTTGTTTTTTACATTAAAAGCGCAAAGCATTTTTTAAATTAAAAGTTAAAATCAATTCAGTGGTTGAAATTAAACCATTTGTTCAGCACACAAACAACAGCTTTCTATTTCTGACCAATATAAATATTTACATTTTTATGTTGTGTTAATGATAAATATTGCACCATAAACTCATTAAGTCCACAGTAAGTTAAATAAAGGAATAAAATAAATAAAATAAGTTAAATAAAATTTGATTTCTAATCCTCACTCTGCTTCCAAGTAATGTCAGGCTGAGTTGCATCTTTAGCTTGGGAGGCTCATTAACTTGAGGCACTTTGACGTCGCCGAGTTTCTGTCTGATTATGTTCTCTGGCCGACCCCCTCCAGCCACTCGAGCACAGTGTCCAGTTCTCCCATGGCCTTCTGCGCCGCCTGGTTTACTTGTAACTGCTCGGAGAGAGGGAGGCAGAAATGGAGAGGTTCACAACTCCTGAAAATCAACTAAAACCTAATAGAAAAATGAAATGTTTTGCATCGGGGGCTTAGCACCCTCTCTAGTCTATTTTAAGAACTAAGGACATAAAAAGACATTCATGTACTACAGATTACCAGTGGTGGAAACTAACTACATTTCCTCAACTACTGTACTTAATTACAATTTTGAGGTATCTGTACTTTATTGAGGATTCTCATTCTCTGTTACTTCATACTTTGACTTCATTACAGTCAAATATTGTACTGTTTATTCCACCGCATTTATTTTATACCTTAAAATACTAGTTACTGTTCAGAATCAGATTACTACAACATATGGTTATAAGACTTTATTTATCCCTGATGCGGTTCACAATTCAACACCTTACCCAGAAGTATGTAAAGTACTTCAAGTTATAAACATATGATGTAATTAAAACTAGCTCCAGCTTTACCAGCTGCAACACTAAATGTGATGTACACAATATTACATCAGTAATTATAACCCAATTAATGTGAAATGTGCAATTCTGCATGACGAGTACTTTTACTTTAGTACTTTAATTATGTTTTGATGCTATTACTTTTGTACTTTTACTTGGGTAACATTTTGAATACAGGACTTTTACTTGTAACAGAGTATTTTTACACTGTAGTACTGCAACGTTTACTTAAGCAAAGAATCTGAGTATTTCTTCCACTGTTGCAGATTACTGTACGAAGACTTGTTCTGTTTACTACATACCTTGATAAACTCAGCATGCAGGGAGTCAATTATCCTCTGTGTTTCTTCATCACAGTGGCAGTGCTGCGCAGAGCAGAACACAATGACAACTCATTACAACCACATTTTATTAACAAACAACCAGGTGGACGCCCTCTTGTTTGTGCTTTATTTTTCTGAGCAGCTAACTTACACATTTGTGTATATGTCTTCTGATGGTGACAAAAGCATTGGCCAGAGCACTGGAGGAGCGTTGTTCCTGAGGCTGAGCAGAGGCGTAGTTGCCAAACACCCTCTCAACGTAGAAACGCAGAAGAAGATGCAAAAAACAGCACATTTGCCCCTCCTGATAAAGATACACAATTGTCAGATTAAAGCCGCTCTCACTTACTCATGCTGCTGGGAAATAAAATCAGAAACAAAAGTGAGGATGGAAAACACAGAGCTATCAGAAACTGGCATAAACATCGCAGGACTCACCTTAACATCCTTCATCAATGACTTGTCCAGAAGTTTTACTCCGATCTCACTGTCTCCTGCGATCTGTTGTGTCAGAAGCAAAAGATCTACTTATAATCCCACTCTTATATTTCTGCAAGTGTTTCGCCCACTTAAAGTTGTCGAGCAGTGTATGTTGTGTGTCTGCATGTTTTTCTGGATAAGACAATTGCTTTTGCTTTTTGCATCCATGATTCTTTTTATTTTGTGTTTTTGAGAAAGAGAGTGTATGTGTGTTTTAAACTCACCGCATTCGATCGTATCTCAGAGTAATATTTGCGCAGCTCGTGTGTGTGAACATTGACAGAGCAGCTGTCCAGATGCAGAGTCCGACCCTTCGCAGGTTCACTCAGACAGCTGAGCAGGACGAGCAGGCAGAATGAGCAGCCAAGCAACATCTTCATCACTGCAGATATCTGGCGGCAGAGCTAACAGAAACATCTGGGTTGTTAAAATCTCTTTTGATAAATTACTAAGAATCAATTATTATACATGGATAAAGGCCATCTTGATCAAGTGAGGAATCATCTATACAATATTTACAAAAAATATTTAAAAAACAAACAAAAAAAAAGTCTTAAGTGACATCTTCATGATTTCTGTCATGTTCTAAAAACCATACACAATTAATAATAGTTTGCAAAATTAACACAATAGGCAAAACCAGCAGACTCAAAACCTGCAGAGGCTCAAAGTGAGAATCAATCATTCAGCATTTTGTATTAATAAATAACACACCTGAGCTTAGACTCACCTGTGTGTGTGGAACTCAGAGGAAGACTCTTCAGAAGGATGTGTCTCAGCATCTCCATGCTCTCTCCTCTTATAGTGGAGTGATGGGGATTTACCAGGTACTGTACCACTGACCTGTACACACACACACACACATACACACATGCACCTGCACATGTACATGCGTACCAAATAGTTTACAGGAAGTTGCCAGCTGATGTCTCAATATCTAATTGGAAGAAAAGGAAAAGGGAAATTTCCTCCTCGCTAACATGTAGTGTTGTCATTGTAAAAAAAACTCCTTCAGTGTGAGTGATGCGCTGTGCCTTTATTTAACAAGTCATTCATTAGAGTCGAGTGTCGTCAGCACATGCTTTGCACCAGTTTAATCACATCAGTCAGTGTGTACTCTTAAATGACGTATAACTGTTTAGGTATGTACCAAAAATGTTGCATATTGTGAGATACTTCCCTACCTTTTGTCCTTGAGGAGAATTCTCATTGGTAGTGACTTCAGTCCTGTCAGACAAGCCCTGATTGGAAACTCCTACCTGACTTGCTCACCGGCTTCTTCGGCCAGTGTTATTTTTTTAATCACTGCTGAAAATATACTTGCAGTGGAAGGAACTGAACACAGGAATAACCTGTGCTCATGGAATAATTTGAAGACAGTCAATAGCATCTTGAGGAATAGAGAAGTGCAAAATGTCCACATTTCCCTATACAAAGTGCAAGTCAGAGTGTGGAGTTAAAAATAGCTGAGCGTACCTCCCAGCTCAGGAATGCTTAATGCTTGGTTTTAACCACCAGAGGTTGTCACAAAGCTTTTTGAACATGGGGTCTGGAGTGTGACTCTGAAGTGTTGCTTCATCAACTGAGGGATAGTTCACCTACTGGTTGGATGCAGTTTCTGTTGGTCGCTTGTCAACAGTTTTAAACAGCTCGACCACGGAGTGATGTTCCCTTGTCAGATTTTTTTTTTTTTTTTGAGTAGTTTTTATTGGATATAAGAGACAAAGCTACCAGGTGTACAATAAAAAGCTAAATTAAAAGAAGATAAAAAAAAGTATAGTAGAAGTATAGATTTTTCATCTGTCTTATCTGAGCTTTTTCCTAATACTTTTGTTAGGGGGTCCTGACTCTCCACTTGGGAACCACTGGTTTTAGCTAATAATGTTTTGTTGAAACTGTCACAGATATTATAGTATTTGAGCTAATTTCACAAGTAGTCATTTCTAGGGCTGTATAAAAATGGCCTAGCTCACTCTTTGCTAATGCAACAGCTTCTGACAGATGTATTTGTCCATCTTCGCTTCATTAGAGGTTGCTATATAATCTTGGGCAACAGAAAAGAGCTATTAAAGGTCATGATGTGCAATACCACTTATTTCCTTTCCAATTTGATATCAAGTAAAACTCAGGCCCGTATTGCAGATACCAAAACCGATTCTCAATGCAAAAAAGGATGAGAGAAAAGAAATGGGTCAAGACAACAGAGACTGATGGAGAACAGAGGATATTATGCGTGCTTATAAGGGCTTTCTGCTTTAATTAACAACAAACGGTGCCACCTCGGTCACAGTACTGTGAAGGGACATATCTGTAGCCAAGATTTTGAGCTGTTAGCCGTGGAACTACGTCTATACTACTGTACATACCCAGGAGGCATTTACATGCCATCTTAGTATGTAGAATACATTCTCTCTTCATGATATTATATTCATATTATATTTTTTATACTTATTTCATTTGCTGTTTTAAAGTGCCTTAGATTTTGTGTTACTTATGTACTTTATATTTCACTTGTATAGTAAGTAAGAATTTCATTGTACAGGGAAACACATTTCCTTATTGTGCATATGACAAACACTTTGATCTTGACCTTTGACCTAGTTGTAATTCACATCCCTCCTCCTGACAAGCAGCGCTTTCTTGTATTTCTTGTATGATTATACCTTACAACTTCCTCAGTCTTGAGCAGCTATTTCCCTGTGGATATTAATAATGTTTTTCCTATTCTGGTTCCAGGAACTCATATGCATAACAGTTCACATATGACTTTGACAGGCAGAAGGAGGAGTAGTTCCTATCAACCAGGTCGCGTAGTTATTGTCTCCCCCTGTTGATAATTAAATATACATTTAGGCTACCCCAAATGATTAATTTTAGATATAAGAGAACTGATCCTAGAACAGAAAATGTTCGAATTGGAAGTGTCAGTATTTACAAATTGATCCACACATCACTAGTTAGAGAGTAAAATGAAGCCAGACTATCACCCACTGCCTACATTGTAATCAGTATCAGTCACAACAAAATGTGGTAATGGAAGGTTTTTAGTGTCTATTAAAATTAATTTGATAGTTTTTCTGGCATTTGCTCAGTGTCAGTGTAAAGATGTCTTTAAAATAATTTATGTGTACATTTATATTCTTTAAATCATATATTTTAAAATGTTGATGTCACTTTAGCTGTGGGGCAAATTTTAATTTAAAAAACGTCTTTCTAAAGACACTTATGGAGTTGTAATCTCAAGAACAAACATAATGATAATTACTTTATTTGGCCAAGTATGTTACACACACAAGGAATTTGTTTCTGGTACAGAACTGAGGCAGCCATCTGCAGCGCCACCTCACGCCGATGGCTCTAACCATCAGGGGCAACTTGAGGTTCAGCGTCTTGCCCAAGGACACATCAACATGTGGACTGCAGGCACCGAGATTTGAACCTCCAACCTTCCAGTTGGGAAACAACTGCTCTACCCACTGAACCAGTCGCCCAGATGCACACAGTTCAAACATTGTGTGCATCCTCTAGGCCTAACATATGAGTTAAATGCATCGATTTCCTATTTTTCTTATTTTCTCTCTACTCTATCCACTCACCCCAACCGGTCGAGGCAGAAAGCCCCCCACCAAAAGCCGGGGTCTGTTGGAGGTTTCTTCCGTTAAAGGGAGTTTTTCCTCCCCACTGTCGCCAAGTGCTTGCTCAAGGGGGATTTGTTGGGTTTTCCCTCTGTAATAATAGTGATAACAGTAAGGTCTAGACCTTACTTTGTAAAGTGTCCTGAGATGACTTTTGTTGTGATTTGGCGCTATACAAATAAAATTTGATTTGATATAATTTGATAAAGCTTTGTCATTTCTTTGCATCCAGTATTTGAAAACAGGCAAGTATATCTCATCCTGCACACAAACTAAACTGAAACATTGCTCCATAGACTACCAGTCGTCAGTTTTGGATATCCTAGTTCCCCCAGAGGGCAGCTGCGGCTCAGGATGTAGAGCGATCATTTCCCAATTGGAAGGGTGGCGGTTTGATTCCCTGTCCCCCCATATCAAAGTGTCCTTGAGCAAGACACTCTACCCATAGTTGTCCCTGGTGGCCAGGCAGCGACTGACAGCACTGCCATCAGTAAGAACATTTCCCATGGGGGCAGAAGGGAGAATGGTGATCAAATGTCCAAAAGAAACTTTATTTATAATTATTTGTACAAAGCGTCTTTACACAGAAGTATAATATACAGAAGGCTAAGAATACAATGAGTAAAATGACATTTTTACATGGAGTACCTTGAAAATCACAGGCTCATTCAGGACAGTTTAACTACATGGTAGTTATGTTATGAACTAGTTCTTCTCACATCCAGTGCAGATGTGTTTGTTGCTGGCAAGGAACACAACTACCCTCCGTATCTGTAGCATGTCTGTCAACGTGTCTGCATTTTCAAGCTTTACTCAATTTAGTTTTTTTTTATTTTACTTTTATAAGGAGAAAATGAGTGATAAACAGTAACTCCTACAAAAGCCTAACCCTAAATGACAGTATATCCAGTTTGTAGTTTACTGTTTTGAACCTGCCATCAAATTTTAAAAGCGTGAGCATTAAAAGATGTATAGTTTGTGACATTTACCTGGAATCTGTCTTTCATTTCCACAGTATCTATGGGCAGATACATTGTGGTTCACTGAGCATGCTGTTGAATTTAGTTTGTGTGTGTGTGTGTGAGTGAGTGAGTGAGTGAGTGCTCATGCCCCCGGACTTGGTGGCACTGTCTAAAAGACAATGGAGCGGAGATGTCTGAAGCACAAGATGACATCCAGAGGGATGGGGGGGTTCAGATGATTCCCGTCCAAACGCAGGTACCTGAAGCAACAGAACAGGTACTTAGACTTCCATTACAGTAATGCTTGCTTTTCAGAACTCATTCCTTCCTGATCTGATTCTTTTGATCTTATTTACTTCCTGGTTCATAGGTGCCGTTTGAATTGCCGACTGCCAAGATGTGACATATTGTGCCGTACCTTAGTCTGGGCCCCAAGCTGAAATCACTGAGGTCACCGAGAGCCTGCAGACTGTATGGGCAGATCAGGGTGCCATTGATGCCTGTCAGGAAAACACAAAGTCAGTGCTTTTTTTTTTAACACACACAAAGAATCACAATGTGCAAATGAAGTGAGATTGTTTTAGTTGCACAGAATATCAGTAATTTAAATGCTTATTAAAACATAGTCCAAGCACTCAAGAAAAGTCAGAAAAAACAGACAAATCAACTAATCAGTTTCTCAAAACAGCTAAGTGAGGTCATGCAGTATTGAAGGAATAAAAATAAATGCAATAAATAAATGACAACTAATTACTATGGAATTATCGAAGTGCCTCACGTGGGAATTAACTTCTGAAGAATTCATCACGTTTTTAAGCCAGTTTAGTCTCAACACAGAAACAATTGTAACAGCGTTGCTTGCTAACTCAAATAGGAAAATAAATATTAGCCAGCCTATGTCAAGCCTGACAAGTGAGATGATCATGGTGCCAGACAGCAAGTTCCAAAAAAATTCATGAAAGAATTTTATTTACATCTGAGATAAATAAATGTAGGGCTTACTGTTGATGTCGTTGTGGTTGAGGTGCAGGTGCTCCAGGTGACTGCTGAACAGAGGAACAGAAGTGAGCTGGTTGTGGGACAGCTGCAGGTCCAGCAGGGTGGAAATGTTGAAGACAGCTTTTGGAACTCCTTTATCACTGAGCTGGTTGTAGTTGAGCCTCACAAATGCCAGGTGAGTGAAGTCTTTGAAGTAATCTCTGAACAGGAGGACGGCAGACACAAAGATCACTTGTGAAATTTAACCTCTAACCACTGTTTAATAATACATGCAGTGTGTGTGTGTGTGTGTGTGTGTGTGTGTGTGTGTGTGTGTGTGAGTGAGTGTTCATCAGTTACGTGACAACGTGTGCACTGTATACTTGCTTTGGGATGTCATCTATACGGTTCCTGTCCAGGAAAAGCTGAATGAGGCCACTAGGTACCCCATCAGGCATCTTTTTCAGGGTGTTGTGTGCCAGATTGAGCTGCACAAGGTTCTTCAGGTCCTTGAATGTGCCTCTTGCCAGGTCACTGTCACTCAGCTAAGAAGAAGAGTACACACACCGTACAATACAATATCAATTACACCCTTATGTTTGCTCCAGAAATGCATAAAGGTTCTGATCATACCTAAACACTTTGTAGTAAAATGCCAACAAAAATACTCTTAAATACAGAAGTTTACCTGGTTGTGGTACAGGTCGAGCAGAGTCAGGTTCCCCATGTTCTTGAAGGCACCAGCAGGGATCTTAGAAATATGATTTCTACTGAGGCGGAGCTGTTCTAGACTTGCTGGAAGACCTGAAGGGACCTCTTTTAGCTGGTTACGGTGTGCATAGAGGTAGAGCAGTGCCGGGATCTTCTCAAACACCTGCCCAAGAAACAAATACAGAATTTTTATATGGTTTTTATGTTGTGTTGAATTCGTGAATATTAATCAAAAAAAAACTCTGAGACCTGATTGTCTATTCGATGAATGCGGTTGTTTGCCAAGTTGACCCAGCGGACCTCAGTGGCGTTGACGAATGGTTCAGCTGTGACCTCAGAGATGTAGTTGTTCTGCAGGTACAAGTAATGGGTTCTGAAAGGGATGACAGGGACTGCACGGATGTTCCGGTTCTCACAGTTGAGAGAATTGGGATAGTCAGGGGTGCACAAACACTCTCGGGGGCAGTCATGAAAGACGGAGGGTGGTCCTAGGATGGGTGGGGGGAAGTCCGTGGGCTCCTGGGGCTCTGGCTGTATTGGTACAGCAGGCCGGGGGACAGAAGGCTTCTTGACAGTGGCTGGGCGCCTGGTGGGCTTCCTTGGCCGAGGTCTCTGGGTGAACACTGCCTCCATCAGGAGGAAGAGCGCCAATGCAGAGAAAAGTCCCGCGCCAGCCTTCATCGTCCTAGAATGAAACAGAGGTGGTTTTTAGATTGTGCACTATGTATGTACAGTTACACTTTAAAGAGGGAAAGAAGTGTTCCCACAATGTACAGTCTGTCATTGTGGCTCTGAGGGTTAGCCAGTATGGTCAACTAATTGTACCCTTAAAGAAAGTTTAACAACTGGAATACATTGGTCCTTTTGCTGTTTCTTACACCATGTGGGGGCTCTGGGGTGAGTGTGTATAAACCCTGCTTTCCTGGTTAGCAGGCATCTAGAGATCTTCAAGACAGATCAAGACAGTTATCTCTGAATGTACTGAAAACATCAGTGCAACTGCTTATATTTGCCTTGTTCTTATTTTGAGAGGGACTTCAGAGGAATATTCCTAAGCCCTGTAGAGATAAAGAGTTTTCAGGGTTGAACTGGGCAGAGCGGTAGTATCAAGACAAACATGAAGCATGTTTCATTTGGATCTTGATCATGAAAACGCTAACTGTTGTACTGCAAATTAAAACTGTACATTCAGGACTCTGCCACCTGAACCGTTACTGCACTTTTATCTTAACATTCAATTTTGCAGTCTAGTGCTGCTCTTACACAAGTGGAAAGATTTCTGTTTATGCCTGAAGTGCCCCGTTGAAATGAACATAAGTGAGATAAATGTACTAAAGCTGTCATATGTAACCGTTCCATTGTTTTTCAGAATGTCTGTAACTGTGCATAAACAAGAAAAGAATGCTGGTTAAATTCTCTGAATTGATTATCATAAATAAATGTTACTACATATTTGGCTTGCGGCTTGATAATACAAGCAAGATGGAAAGTAAGCAAGAAAGTGATGATGGTGACTTGTTAAATGTGATTACATTCAAGTGTAGGAGTGCAAATGCTGATACAGGAAATTAGCTCTTATGAAGGAGTGGAAGGAAAGGTTTAGAGAAAAAGGCTCTATTGTCAGCACTGGTCCAGAGAGAGACTGCAGGTCTTGAGCTTTAAAGCTCTTCAACCCAGAAGAGGTCAAAGACTGGACTAAATCCCACTGTGATTCTTATATCCTGATGGTACTGATATTCCTTTAGGCCATCCTGACTGCTTCTCTGGAGTCAAAAGTTTTAGATAATACAGAGTGATTGTTTGCATGTATACACTCCTTTGTACACTGTAACTCGTCATCATAAGCCTGCTGTAAATATTCACCACACAACTGACATAATATATAATGCTTCAGCATGAATACACCACTAGTTTCTAGTCACTTAGTTCCAGTTAAACAAGCTGCTGGCCAGTTTAGTAAACATCACTCATGAATCACTGGGCAGGAATGAGGCTCGGAGCCAGAATCTGTCCTGCCTGAAAAAACAAATCTGAACTTCTCTGACGGTGTTTCCTGGCCCTGCCCTTCCTTACCCTGTCAGATAAACAGAGCCTCCCAGGCCCCTGTCAAAGGCCAGAACCAGCCAGCACACACTTACACTATGGCACACCATCTAATCAAGATGTACATTGACCAGATTCACATCACAGATGACTTCAACTCATTTGTTGCCATTGTTAAGTAAATAATTTCTCATTACAATTTGAAGCAAAAATAATTGTGACATGTATTTGAAACCTTCTTCTGAAATAAACACATAATATCCATTTAGACAGTGTTCTGGAGCTTCCAGTCATATCACACTGACTTCATTAACAGTTTGCTCAGCTGAAATGTGGAATTAGAAAAGAACAAGTCCAGTCGCACAATGCAGTTGTCATGGGATTTAAGTTTACTAGTCTATGACAAATTAGCTAATGAAAAGCATGTATATATCTGACTTATTTTCAATTTCAGGTATTTTAGAAATTCTCCAGAATACCGACTAAATGGATCTAGTGGTGAGATGGTTTTCTCAGTTTGTCTTTGTAAGTCCAAAAGTGCACTTCAGATCTCATTTACAAATCAGTTTAGATTATTTTAAATGTGAAATCAACATATGTTTACTAAAAGTAAGATTAGCCATAGCTCCAAATTAACATATACTTAAAAGTATATTTACTTTCTTATGCTTTTTGACATTTAAGACCAAAATATTATTATTAGGCACAGGGCAGTTTTGAACGGCAGCTATTTTTGCAAGTGAAAACTATGGTTAAGATATCCTTTAAAAAGTTGTTTAGATTTCTCTAAATCAGTTTTTACAAATAGTCCAGATTCCCTTCTTTTTTCCAGCAGATTGTTTTGGAAGTTATTAACATAAAACAGACTTTATTCATGAGCAACTATTGTGATTGGCTGGAGGTGTTGACCATGTTCACCCCCAGCCAATCAGAACAGGACCTAATGAATAATGTAAGCATTCTTAAGCTGATCTTTACCTGGCATAATGGCTGCAGCTGGAAACACAAGACAGCATATAGAGAAATATGAACCAGAGTCTGACCCTGAATGGAAAAGAAGAGGAACCTGCTGTTGCGGACTGGAGACTTCAGCTGAATATTTCAGGGAGGGAGGATCATGTTAAGCTTCCTAATACAGTAACAGTCATGTTTTCAGATGTAGCCATCTTAGCTTTAGCAACATCTATATTCATTTAGCTGAGTAACGTTCCCCATGCTCTGCGGTTGTGGGTGGAGATTCCAATTTTTAAATAACTTTAAGACAGTAATTTGACAGCAGAGGAGGACCTCTGCTAATTTACTCTGAAGCTCATCATACTTGAGTACTGTTACTAGTAAAAAGGTGTTTTAAGAAACCACCAAAGGGTTTTAATTTCTTCAGAATATCAGAGTTGTGTATCCCGACTGTTGTTTATGATTCTCAAATCTCAGTCATGCCAAATAAGGCTCTTTGTCACCACAAAGTCCTTGATGATGAGGTCTTTCCATTTCATCACATTTTCTCTTTCTTTCTTTTGGCAGAACTGTTGGTGTCATTCTTTTAACTGAAAATGATCCCCATGAAAAAAGCTATGAACAGGCCATGAAGAGCAGAGTTCAAGAATCTAGAAAATATCTGAGTAATCTGGGACACAGTTACACCTATGTCTAAATATTGTTCAGCATGTGCATGCAGAGTAATACATATCACATCTTCTGACTGTTATCATCACTCATCTCTACACCATATATTTGTAGCTGTATCTAAAAAGTTGTTATATAGAAAGTGAAGTGCATTTTAAGTTAAAATGGGATGACAGCTTCAGTTCTGCACTAGAAATGTACATTAGAGACATCTGCCCTACTTTTGAATCTATCGTCACCAGCAGATACTTTGCAGCACTGCCAAAGCATTTCCTCATGTGGGTGTGGCCATACTGCAGTGGCTGTGCAAAGATTTGATCCACATCTATGGTATTTTGATGCACAAATGGTGGCACTGACAAAAGTAGTCAAAAAAGTGAAATATAATGATTGCAATCTAAACTAACTTGAGTATAGCCTGCATCATCTGGCTCCTGCAGACAGCCTGTTCTCCTGGCTGACTGTCATCACTGCTTCTTTTTCCTGACCATGAGCCAGTCTAATCCAGATCAAGCAATGGTTTCTTTTTTCATTCTTCATTGCAAAGATGGAGTTTTAAAAACCTCAATCCAGTTGTAACACAATGAAACAGCACAGACTGTGTTTTTGAAAAAACAGGCATGCCTAAGCTGTGTTAATACATTTCCAGAGTATTTCTTTTCAGTTTTATTTTGGGCTGTGGTTAACACTGATCCAGAAATATGATCCATCAGGATGTCTTAGGGCAAAACAGTCTAAATAACAACTTCACAAACACTGAAGAAAAATTAGTAAAAAAAAAAATCTGAATGCCTGGAAACCCTTAAGGATCCATGTGATGAGCTGCAAAAACAAAGCTCCTGCATCAGTCAACATGACCCTCGGAGCAGTTTTTATAGCCATGGCTAAAGCTTTGATCTCTGCATATTTTCAATTCTCAGCAAGCAGCAGCTCTCCTCACTTACTGATAGATAAAGTAGAGCTCAAGGTGTGTGCACAGGAGCGAAGAAAAGCATAAGAGCTGAAGTGTATGGCAGCTCCCTGGTAGGCAGAGTATCACTTTATATGGCACAGTGTTTCTATAGAAACACATCGACATAGCCCAGCTGTGCCAGTGCCAGGAGCCCCCTCAGTCCACACACACACACACACACACACACACACACACACACGCCTGCATTTCTGCTGCTTTCTACCTCTCTTTTTTATTCAGCAACACACTCCAGCCTGCACAATTGTTTTATTGATCATGTCTAATTACAAACAGTCCCCTGGAAACAGCAAACAAAGTTTCTTACCTGCCTCTGGTACCTGCCCTCTTTTGTCAAGTCACGACTTTTGGGTCTTTGCTTCTCTCTGCCTCTCTCACTCTTCTCCAACCCCTCCCTCTCTCTCTCTCCCTCTCCTTCTGTTTCTCTGGGGCCCTAACCCTCCCCTCCCAGCCTCTTTCTCCTTTGGCGAACAATCCTGCCTGTTGGGTTTGTTCCCTGGCTTTTTTCCCTCTGAAGGTCACAATGGTTCTTGCTCCCCCCTCTGTTTGGCTTGGGGCCAGAGAGATTAAATCCTAATTCTTTCTGGAAGACTGTGGGATTTTTCATTTGTCCAGACTGTGTCACAGTTTGTTATTATTTAGTTTTGTCACAACAGAGCATGAGAATTTTTGTCTCAGAAGACAAGAAAAAGGGTGCATGGGTATGTTTGCATATTTGTGTGCATGCACACGCTTGTATTTCTGTATCAGAGTTCTTTGAGAAATGCTGTGAACACTGGCCCAGCTGCAACTGCATCTTTCCTCTGTCTCCCACCCACTCCACCATTGTGTGAATGATTGTGCATGGATCCAGTCATGTGTTTCTCATTAGCAGCATCTCTCCATGGCATCCTCTCTCTGTCTAGGATTGTTTTCCTTCATCAGCAAACTCAAACAGTCTGATTACTGAAGTCCAGCAAAGGCAGGCGAGGGTCTTTCAGGCTGTGGCGCTGTGTGGCACTGTGATTAACATAGTAGCCACTATGTGTGTGTGTGTGTGTGTGTCTGTGTGTGTGTTTATTTGTGACTGGGGGTTTGGAGGCTGACGTGTTTGCTGCCCTACATTCTTGCAGAGTGAGCTGCTCCACTTTCCCTGCATTTTTTTTTTTTTTACATAGCTTCTCCCCACTGGACTCCTGTCTCATGTGTAGAGTCACCACGTTTGAGAAACTGAGCTCAATTAAACCAAACATCTGGACTGGGCTGGTCCCTATGGAAGGACATTTTTGGGTGGTTGTTTTTTCTCTTTCGTCATCTCTGCTACCATTAAAAGAGGTGCAAATGCTATTTAATGACTGTGTAAAAGTTTTTATTTTGTGCACCCTGCAAGGATGACATCACTGGAAATAGCCGTGTATTAATGTTAGATTTGGTGTAATTCATTTATTTATTATCTTGTCTATAACGTAATATCAACAGAAGTTAATGTTGAATAGAATATTTAAAACAATAAAGCAAAGCTGAATCTCTGGATGAGGTGGGCTACAGTTCCACTGCCATAATTAATTTGTAGTAATATTAGGACTAGTAATGGTAATTTACTCCTCTGCCCAGTCCCATGCATGGTGGGCACACAACACAAAATATTAAGACAAAATTAGCAGCAAGTTAAGCTTGACACCAGAGCTGATAAACTCAGTAACGTCACCTGTGCGTGTTTCTTTTGTGAGGATAATGCCAGAGGAGAGGTGAGGCGTAAATGATCCTGCAGCTTCAGCTCACTGCGGGAAGGTAAAGTAAGCTGGAGCACTCAGGTTTAGGTTTGCTGTAGTACTGTAATATGGTCTCAGTGTGCAACACATACAGTGATGACCAGTATAAACTTAGTTTCCAGCTGTTTAAATACAGCATAGCATACAAACTAATGCAATCTAATATGGCTTTTGAAAGTCTTCAGCAAATTATTTGCTATAATTTAGACACTAACACATGAAATATAGTGACATAATAAACTACTTTGGGCTGTCATGTTTTTATTATTAACAGATTGATTACAACTGACAAATCTGTGTATGGATTGTTCTGCAATACTCTATGTAACAATCAGTATATTGTAGACATGAGAGAGATTAGAAATATCTACTAGTATTGATGAAATTAACAAATGTGACAACTGTACTACTAGGTACAGGTCTAGGAGCCTCGGGGGTCATGGCGACCATAAAAACAGAGTAATATATAATGTGTAATGTCATGTATATTTGTCTTTGCAGAATAGAGAGAGAAAGATTTCTTCTGATGGACACAGAAGGAATCCATGTTTTGTGTTCTTATAAACCTGTTGTCAACATTAGCAATGTGCAGGTTATTAATAACTTTTAGATATAAAAGATACAGTGTTTCTTTCCCATGTCAACAGTGAATGAGACAGACTCATCATAATTTATTTCTTTGTCGTTGTGTTTATTTCTCTGCATTGACTCACGTTTGCTTTTCTTCTTGTCTTACCTTTACAAAAATGCGTCTGCTGTACTTGACATATTCATCATCTCATTATCTGCCCATGCTTTTACTGACCTAAACACCACACATGGGCTGGTCAACTCCGGAATAAAACTGTATGGATTGATTTTTTTTATGTATTTATTAGAGCTTAAGTAGCAAATATTTGAGGGAAGAACTGTGTGGCTTGAATTTGCATGTGAAAACTAAGTCACATGGCCTGTGGAATGTAGCTGTTCGGCCTGCGGAGCTCAGATACACAGAATCACGAAGGAGACAGCCGGCTGCCAGCGCACTGCTTTTCAGGTCTTAAGTCAACCTGTTGATTCAAGAAGAGAGAGAGATATTTATAGGGCAAACAACCTGCTTTTACTGCAGGAAATCTTTAAGCAGCAGACCCCATAAGTGCTATTACGCACAGCAGCAGCTGTTTTCCAGGCAGATGGAGAGAGTGAGGCAAACTTAGGCTCCAGCCCAAAATGACTTAGTGAGTATAATAATCTGAAAACTTGCCAAGAACTGCCTGTTCTGTCATCTACAGTGATTAGGATGATTGAACTGTTTGGTTTAAAGCAGGCATATGCCAGTTTCAGCCAGAAATGTTTGCAGAGGAAGGGCAGCCAGAGGAATACTAATATTAAATCGATTTTAACTGCAGCACTATGATGTGTGCACATACTTAATTCTGCAAGGCCACGTACTCCTTTCCAAATCAAATCAAAATCCTCAGCTTTGGACACCCATCCTAGCAAACATTAGCAGTTTAAAATTTAACAATATTCTCATTGTCTTTGCCCTTGAAAGTTACATACAAGACAAATGCAACTTTATTGTTTCATAAATGACTTTAGGATTATACAATTTACAGGAGGCAGGTAGTATAAAGGCCCCTTTGTTTATCATCATTCAACCTTTATTTAAACAGGAAAAAACCAGCTGAGACCAAGCTCTCCTTATTATGTTATGTTAAACTGTGGGTGCTTTTGGTGCCCAGTAAGGATCTTTCCACTTGAGCCATATCCAGTGGCTACTTCTCTCAGCCACCTGTGATACTCCTATGATGGTCTGATGCAAAGTCTATCCATGGATTCCCAGACCAATCAGCAGTTTGATGGTTGAAAAAGCGATGAAACCTCTGCATCACGCTTTGACCAGGTAGACTTTGACATTCAAGCCCCTTTGTTTTGCATCTGCTGCCAGCCTCCTCATTGGCCTCCTCAACAGAGTCCTCCCATGGGACTGTGAGTTCAATGATGTAAGTGCAGTGATGGGGACCAGAGTACCAGATGATGCTTATTAGTGGAAGAAATTTCTGTTGGAAGGAACAATCGTTTGTCAATATCCATCAGCTTGTTCCAGTCAGGGGACTTAATTAGATGCTCCGTTTCAGGCTTCTTTGAAGGGTTCTTTGTTTGGGTCTTTCTTCTTCTCAGAAGAATGCTGTCATTTGTAGCTTGGTTGCCTCTGGGGGCAAGGAGTTGGACACACTCTGCTTGTTTTCAAGAGCCAATGCGAGGCACTTGAGGACTTCATTGTGTCATCAGGTGTAGCAGCCTTGTGTAAGGCTGGTCTTACATCCTGTTTGAAAGTCACTGACATTGAGCAGAGGGCACAAGTTGGATCCTCTCCAAACCACTGCTGGAGGTATGCTGGTGATGGGAGCACATCATATGTAGCTCAAATAATGAAGCTAATGTTGTTTGCCTCCATTTCCCATAGTTCTCTCCATGTGATCCTTCTTCTCTCCATGCCTTCCCACCGCATCCGCTGCCTTTGCTTAGCTAGAGAGGCCACCTTTGTGCTCCTGACCATCTTCTCCTGCTGATGCACTTCTGTATCCACCAGCTTCCTGTACTCTGATGTAGTGGCCTTGCACCAAACTGGTTTGCTTGCCACCGGGCCAGGGCCTCCTCTACCCTCAGTCTCTCTCTGCCTCAGCACTGATGTAGCTTGCTGTACTGCACTAGGTGGTGTCCATTTCCAGCCAGCTGAGAGCGGTGGTGCATTCTTACTGATGGTTGGTCTTTGGAGTCCTTCGGCATCATCTGGAGTCTTATTTTTGAACAGTTCCAGGGCCCCTTTGCTGTAGAGGTTGATGTTACTCAGACATTTGTGGGATGCCAAGCCACTTCTTCACATATGAAGCAATGGTTACCTCCATCTTCTCCACAGCTGTTATTGGGACATCATAGACAGTGAGTGGCCACATAACCTAAGGAAAGAGTCCAAATTATAGGCACCAGGCTGGGTTTTCCAGGCAGGAGGGTCTTGTTGATATTCCCCATACCACTGATCAAATCAAATCAAATTTTATTTGTATAGCGCCAAATCACAACAAAAGTCATCTCAGGACACTTTACAAAGTAAGGTCTAGACCTTACTGTTATCAATATTATTACATAGGGAAAACCCAACAAATCCCCCTTGAGCAAGCACTTGGCGACAGTGGGGAGGAAAAACTCCCTTTAACAGAAGAAACCTCTGACAGACCCCGGCTCTTGGTGGGTGGCCTTCTGGCTCGCCCGTTAGGGGTGAGTGGATAGAGGAGAGATGATGTCCTGTCTTAGTCGTTGCACCTGATCTTGGTCCTTATGACTTGCATCGTACCATATGCTCAGGCTCCTTTTGACAGGATGCTTAGATGCTATTGGTATTGGGTCATCATCCGTGTAGAATTTCATCTTTTTAAGCATGCCCTTAACTATGGAGATTCTTAGATATTTCTCTGGTTTGATTCTCATCCTGGCCCACTTGATGTTTTCCTGCACTTGTCAATTGTTAAAGCCAGGGGTGAGATTGTGCAGCCTGCCATGATGCCCACCTCCAAATGCAGCCAAGATGTAGTGAAACTGGCAGTTGTAAAGCACAGTTGCAGGTCTTGGAAGTAGGTTTTGACCAGTGTAGTAATGAGCCCTGGCA